GCGTATCCGCTGTTGGGGAATAATATGGTTTCCTTATTATGGTAACTTAAATTAAATCCCTTAACAAGAACCCAGTTTAGGGTTTGCTGCTGTTGCTGCTCCAGCTTCTACTGCTTCTGCTACTGCCATTTCTACTACGTTGCTCTTGCTGAGTATCATTTTGCTCTTGAGAAGCCGGTCCTTGTACGTGACGGGGCTGCAGACTTTGGCAATGGGCTGTCCTGTCTTGACGTCGCCAAGCCAGATTCCACCCTTCATGCTCACGAGCGTCATCTTGCCCCTGAGTTGAATTGCATCGCCTTTCGCATTCTTTAAATTCTCGGTGTACTGCGAAGTGTTTCCGAAGTTAGAACCGATTCGGAAGAGTTCCTGCGCAGGTTTTCCATCAGAGTCCGTAGCATACACGTACTGCTTGTCATCCACCTGCATGAGCGGTTCCTGGATTACGAACAGAGGACACCTCTCGCCATCACAAATGACTCGTTTCTCGTCGAAGTTCATAAACCTTGGCTCTTTCTTGTTAGGGGCTCCCTTTGAAAATATTAGGAGGCGCAAGCCACAAGAACTGCCAAAAGGCCACGAAACTTCCCGAGACATTGAAACACCACTTTGCTCGAATCGTTGGCATCGACAATCCTCGGATCGGGTTTGCGCAATGTCTATAATACAGTGGCTTCAATTGCACAACTACGAACCAGGTTATGACATGTTCTACTTTAAATACTACTGTATTATACCACAATTAGATACGGACTGAACGGGGCAACCATAACTAATTTTTCAGGCCGGTATAGTACAAGCTTAATTTTCGAGGTCTAAAGAGATGGTTGCGAATTGAATACGCCACCGTGTCAACCCGAAGGCCCAAACCCCTAAGGGCCCAACCAAACGGTTTAGGGTTTAGGGTTTAGGGTTTAGGGGTTTAGGGTTTAGGGTTTAGGGGTTTAGGGTTTAGGGATACAGATGTTGATCTGAAAGGGGCTCTGTGATAATTTTAGGACCAGTGTGTATACTATTGTCTGGGTACATGGGCGCTGTGGGGCTCCAAACCACGGCTGTTACTGTTGATGATACAAACCCTGCATTACCCATAACAAGGAATATATCATGATTCCCATAGTCTAGGGTCCTGAAAGTAAGGCAGGATTTATATCATCAACAGTATGACAAGGCTAGACGGCTAAATCCTAAACCCTCAGCCTGAAGCCCTGGACCATAAACCTTAAACCTAGACGCTTGTAGCTGTCTCCACTGAAAGAGAAGATCTTTGCCTTCAGGCGCAACATCATGTTCTTGCCCTCCGGGACAACGAATTTGGAGTCGAAGACCTAGGAAAGTGAAGGGTTAAGGGCTGAGGATTTAGGGCTTAGCATTTGGGGGATTAAAGCGTAGGGTCGAGATTTTCCAGGACGCCATAACACCTACCTTTGTACCTACCTTTCTGAAGTTCCTTACCATGGCTTCCGGCTAAGAGTTTATTAAGGTGTAAGAGTGTAAGGTAGGGTTCAGGGTTTAGGGTCTAGGGTTGTATGGTTATTTTTAAGTGCAATGGAGCGGACTTTTCGACCATCCCAGCCTCGCGAGGCCTACACTAGTGGTGAGACACAGACTCTTCTTCAACAGACTCCTCACGTTCTTTGTCAACGAGCTCATCCTCACAACCTCCTTCACTTACCTCCGCCGCTTGCACATGGACTGACCCCTCCCACCCCAACTTCACCAGGATCACTGCCGCCAGCTGCATCTCCTACACGACCAGCTGGCGGCAACGGTTGTCCTTCACGCTGCGCAGGATAGCAGCAGCTACGGTCGCGGCCGCCGCCATCCCTCCATTGCCCCGGCTTCGTCGACCCGATGTAGTGAAGGGAGTCAAGCGAAGATGCAGTGCAGCAGGGTTTAGGGTTTAGGGTTTAGGACCCGAAACCCCAAGCCCCAAACCCTAAACACTCTAAGCCTTTGTGCTAGGATATACAGACCGGCCTGCTTCAATTCAGGCCCCCTTGCCAGATCGATAGGGTTTGGGTTTTGGGTTTAGGATATAGAATAGTCTAGTTTAGTCTATTTTCACAGGGAGCCTTCAATAACATGGGATATAGAAGAGACTAGTATGGCCTAACAATAACCAGGAGCCTCAAACGAAATGTTTAGAATGTTTTTGGCTTTCACATTATGCAGCTGCACAGAAACCGATCAAGAAGATCCCTGCTGCTGCAGGGATTGGGATTCAGGACCCGCAGGACTCCCACAGGGATCCAAAACGCAGCAACTTCTCACCAACACGAGTGCATTCTCCTCATATAGATGCCCAAGCCCTACAGCATGTAACTGGCTACCTTTCAACCCCAACAAGACTAGCATTACCCTTAACCCCTGAATCCCTAAACTCTAAACCCTAAACCGCACACCCTAAACCGTGATCCCTCAGATCAAAAGCCCTCCCGCTACGACCCCTGACTACCAGGGTCCCGCACCGTGAGCTTCTCGATGTCCGGATTTGCCTGCAAGTCGATCGGAATCTCTGCCGTGGACGCCGCGCAGCCCATAGCTTCAAACAAGCTTCGCTGGTAGTCAGCGGAGCGGAACGGGGGACAAGCTGTGGAATGGGCTTGGCCTTAGAAAATGCTGCAAGGCAGGACGCTAACACGCAGATGTAAGACACCGGAGATCCAAACCATCCTTACTTACTAAGTCCTCTGAACCCTTAACTTGTAGTTTGCGGCTCTAGAGCTTCGCGTTTCAACTTCAGGGAGCGCTTGAAGGTTCATGAGTCGTTATTAGTGGGGTTGTAATTCCACCAGTATAGGCTATAGCTATAGCTATCCTACTTATCAACCCGACTTATAACTACCCATGAACCTCCTAAACCCTAAACTCTAAACCCTAAACCCTCAATTCTAAACCCCTACACCCTAAAAACTGAACCCTAAACTCTAAACCCTAAACCCTAAACCCTCAACCCTCAACCCTAAACCCTAAGTGCAACCAGTCTGGAGCGGTTTGGGCTTTCTTGCGCCTTAGAAGAGTTTAGGGTCAAGGGTTTACTAGGAAAGTGGTGGGCTTAGGGTTTAGGGTCTAAGGATTTGGGGTTAAGGCTCAAAGGTTCTACTTGTAGGGTTTGGGGTGTAGGGTGTTTTGGGTTGAGGTCGAGCTGCAGCCCAACCATGGCGACTAAGATTACGTAGGCTCAGTGTTCACACGGATGAGTGAGGAGCTTGGGTTTGGGTTTCTTGGAGCATGCTGCATCGGTGTGCTTCCTTTTTCGGCTGGGTGTCCGCATGGCCGAGGGAGGCTGGCAAACCTGCATCCAAGGCAAGATGACCCAAGATGAGGAAACCCCAACCCTAAACCTTTGAATCTAGAGCTCGCCGACGAACCCTGGAAACTAGAGTAGGGTTTTGGTGTACGCTGTGCGATAACTACCCTCTTAGGCGTAGTCTTCTTAGATACTGGACTTGGGCAACGGAGTTCTATGTTGTAATCGCTGGGCGCCCTGTCCAGGTAATATAGGGACCTTAAGTCTTAGAATAGGGTTCTGGGGGTTCCTTATTATAATTATAGTATAATATACCCCCAAACCCGATTCTAATTATTGCGGCGCCTATAAACCCTAAACCCCAAACCCCTAAACCCCTAAACCCTAAACTCTAAGCCCATATAACTATGTTACTTCCGGCCCTGCTTGTAATTGCCTATAACGTCCCAGTGCACCACTTCGACAGGGACAGGAATGGTTATGGGGTTACGGGCCCTAAACTCTCAATCCAACACGCTAAGCCCTGAACACTAAGCCCTAAACCCTAAACCCTAAACCCTAAACCCTAAACCCTAAAACCTGGCGTCCTTTGGCTTATGAAGGCCCTCATAGCTAACCCGAAAGCTCTCTCTGAGCGGTTGTTGTACGACTGTTGATGATATCAATCCTGCAATACCTCAAGGACCCTAAACTATCGGAATTATGGTATATTCCTTACTATGGGTAATGAAGGATTTATATCATCAACCGTAGCTTTGGGCTTCGAATTGCTCCGGCGGCTCCGTTTGCTCCATACAGGCAATCATTCTGCAGCAGTGAAGAGTGCCAAGTCAAATCAACGCAGCGTCGATTTCGGTGAATCTATTGGCGAACGCCGCCTTATACTCAGGTCAGGCTATGCAAGGGTACAGGTCTGGTGTGTCAAGTCGCACCATCACGCCATCGAGGTCATGCAGGCGTCTACAACAAAATGTGCCCTGCACATACCAGGCACAGTAGTCCCCTGCCCAGCGCACACATGGCGTCAAACAGGATCTCGGCATAGACCGCCTTCTTATTGGCCACAGGCATAATTAACGGACAAGTTCGGCGCCACGAAGTCCGCGTACTACGCCGGCTAGAGGACGCGCTACCACATACGCTCGTGCGCGACCGCGCCGGCCAGCATCACGCGCGCGAGCTCATCATCACTGAGCTTGGTGCTGATTGCGATCTGAAATCTAGTCCGGCATGTTTGCAAAAACATGGTCGAACAGGCAGCACTGTGCAACGATTAAGAAGGCCTTGTTGGGCATCAAACGGTGCAGTAGACATCTTTCAAAGGTTGCTCTACCAGCTTGCTATAGGCACCGCCGTGAGCTGCATCACGTCCCCACAGCCTCGCCAGTCTGAAAAGCGCCTCGTCCACAGGTAGCGCAACCCCCAGCAGGTCGCGGCACGCCCTGAACCATAAACCCTTCCTTTGCATGAATTCAAAGAGCCCTGGAGTGACTCTCAACCCCCCAGGCCTAAACACACACAGAGTCACATTTTAATATTTGATTTGATTAAGAAATCCTGGGTTCTTATTGGGGCTCGTTATCTGAAGCCTAATATTTTGGGGTTATAGGGCCAGGGTTTCTTAATCAGGCTCCTACATTACCGCAACCATTTTCATAGGCCCAGCATGCCCCAAAAAGGGTTGATTCCGGTTTTTACTAGGCATAGGCAGCGGTTGCAAATGCAGGGTGAGGCTCCCGGGGCTAGGATTTAAAGAGGGTTTGGGTTTAGGGTTTAG